TGTCAACCTTCATAGAGAATTTGCAACACATACTTTGCAAATTATTTACTGTGTATGAATTATTGTTTTTTATAGACTTCCGCATTATTTAAGCGTATGCATAACTTTTTCGTTATTGCCATTTTCCAAAGAACTTTTGTGGAAGTCTTCAAATTCAAGGACTCATAGGAAGTACAATACACATTGTATGTTCCTTATATGATGCGTAAATGTGATTTGTTATGGTTATGTATGTCTGTGGATTTGACGTACATGTCTCATTATTATTCGGCTATATTTAGGTATTAAAATGAGTCTTTATAATCTAATTGACCACGTGTTTCATATGTCATGTCTATTAAAACTTGTATTACATCCAATTACATCAAGAACATTAAGAACTACATGGAAGAACTTAAAAACTACAAAATGAGAAGATTAAGCATTTTCGGTCCATATTGAAATAAATTAAAGAAGATCAATTATAGCGCATTTTCCTTACAATTTACAAAATATTTAAAATTTGTCACGTTACGTAACGAATTACGTAAGAAACTGTTGTTTTTGAATTTTTAAACATAGCCAAAGATAAACGGAAAATAACAGCATCACTTCCGATTTTAGAAAAATGCGCTAAATGATGAAAAAAATTGGCGAAGATTCAAGACATCGTTAAATGATGTCTGATTATGATGAATTCGTTTAAAAAATATTATTTTTATATTTTTATTGGCTTTAAGCATCCCGTTTTTGACGAAACTTATGAACGACACCTCAATCGCGAGGATGTTTGTTTCTTGCACAATGATGTAAATTAATATGAATGATGTGATAATGAAAATTATTATGGCAGTGATGAAATCTTTATGGATGATCGGTTATGGTGGGATTTATGCACACAACAAAAATGTAAATTTATAAATTAATTAAAGGAATTAAAAGGTTGTACACAGAGAACAAAAAAGAAAGCACATTGAACGACTCACTGGCATCATTTGGATACTATTTTGTAGGTAAGTACCTAAAAGTTTTGACGTTGTTCCAACTTGTTCTGATATGATTGCAGTATACGTATAATTATTTGCAGGCTGCGTGATTTTTATGACGATTTCATGCAAGGGAATCATGAATATATCCTTGTAATTGCGATGGATTATTGACGTGATTTTTTAATTATAATTTGACAATCAAGAATGGCTCTTTTATGCTCAATGAATTATAAAGAACAAAATTATGACATTAAAGGAAGTAAACTGTTGATTTACATTCTTTATTACTTTTTGTTTAATGATTTTTAATGCACTTTTACATAACTTTTTATCGACTCTCTTTATTCAGCTACAATGAAGAAATAAAAACAGAATTTAAATAGGAATTAAATGAACCTTTTCACTCTGATTTTACAGCAACTTGTGTGGTTTTTGTGGGGAAATTTCAATAACAAATAAAAGTTAAAGGATTGATGAAAAAAAAAGGTCGAGAGCTTTCGAGCATCAATATATATGTATGTATGTGGACTAACCAGATGATGAAATTATTTAAAATTTTCTCATTTTCTTCCTTGCCAGACAAGAAGGAAAATGCATTCACAGCTATAAATCGAAATTGAGAGCACTTTAAAAGATTTTTCGAGCACTTATTGATTTTTTTCCTTTACTTTACTTCACTTCTGCACTTTTGTGGATGTTTTGTAGGCTCTATTAAGTTTAAAAATCATCCGACAACGGAGGAAGCGAGCGCTAAAAAACTTCTTGCACGTTACATTTCTTTTAACTGACTGAAAATTGCTTTTCGTGAGCGGAACGTTTTTTTTTTTTTATTTCCGATGAGAAAATCAAGAGAATCTTTAGCACTTTTTCCAGTGCATGCATACTTATTTATGCAATTCACTTTGACCTGAATTTTTCTTTAACATTAATTTACTGCTTTATGTTTGTGGTCGCTAAAAGTATTTTAAATGGTTATTTTACCTTCAATTGCATTCAATTTTACAGTCTATAATTCTAATAGCTTATGCTAGGTCTATTATTACTTACCTATTGATTTATATTGCAAACTAGAGCAAGCATGACATTGTTTAAAAAAATACGTTGCAATTTTTATTTGAATTTTCGGAAGTTCAAATTTTGAACTCTCAAACCTTATATAAAATTTGAATTTCGAAAAACTGTTAAAATTCAAATCCTTGAAAACCGTCAAAATTTCAAAAGATACAATCAAAAAGAAAATGCGTCCCATTAATCAAATCAAGCAATGCCAAATAAACAATGTAGAGCGGATCATGAAAAGAAAGATTGAGAGAGAACCAATTTCATAGAAGAATATCAAAAAACATGCTTTCTGTTGCCATACATTCATCGGACAACACAAAAATCATTCCATTGTCTCTCCGTGCGCACTCGCAATTTTATTCTGGAAAATGATTTAGGATTTGTTTTATTAGGACATGCTGTAAATATAAAATACACTAAATTGTGAAGCGGAAAAATCAATTAATATATTTTAAATTTAAAAACTGCAATAATTTTCTTTTACCTTTATTACTGACAATTTCCACTATAATTTTTCATCTTTTATAAGATTTTTTTTCATTATTTTTATTTGTTTCTTTTTTGTATCATGATACACAATCATATTTATTTATTATTTTCATCTCTTACCTACTTGAAAAATTTGAACAGAACGAGAAAAAAAAAGTTGATTATGCCAATTATTTAATTTACTATTAGAATGCAATTAATGGAAACAAGGCAGAAAAATTGTGAATTGTTGCTGTAAGGAGGATGGTGGGAATTTTCACATTTTATTGTTGATGATGTTTGGTCTCACATTAATGCTTGATTAATTTATTGATTTCCTATTGAAATTCAGACATTAACTTCAAAGTCACGTGGTTTTTTGAAACTCAATATATTGAGAATCGCTCGTGCTCATGACTTCTTAAGCTCAAAATCACTTTTATTCGAGATCTTGATGGCTCAAAACCATTTCAGCATTAAATTTGCAACTGTCAATTAATTTTTGAATTTTTGTTTAAGTTCAAAAAGTTTAATTTTTTTTCGTAATGATTTGAAATCTAAAATGTCGTTAAATGTAGCAAAGGAACTCACGTGCGTTTGTCGTTAATTCTAAATGGCAATTTCATGTCAATCCTTTATGTTATTCATATAATTTATATTTAAGAAGTTATCTTTTACAGTAGCCAAATCAATTGATTTCTATAATAATTATACAAAAAGTTAATTAAAAATATGAAAAGGAAAAATTGGAGACAGACGTTGTATGTGAGTGAGGAGGATTAAGGGAAACGAGGGAAAATATAGAAATCTCTTCATTTTGATGTATTTTCCTTATGATTTAGGTACGAGTTTTTTTTTGTTTCATTTTTTTACTTTTTTAAATCATTTTTCTCTTTTTTTAAGATTTTCTCAGGTTTTTTCTGTATTTGATTAAAGAATAAGATTTTTCCTTATTTATGATGCATTTTTGCAGTCATGTTGTGTGACAAATTTCACTTTTAGTGGAATTACACGCACATATCCTCCAAAAAACAAAAAGAATTTACAATTAGTTAAATGTGTATTTTTCATCATCATTTTTGCTTTACTAGAATATATTTATATTAATTAATCTTAAAGTAACGACTTTACTTCACTAAGACCATTTAATTACATAAAAAGTTATGTACATAAAAAGTTTTTGTGATCCCAAAAAAAAAAAAAATAAAATCATGAAAGAAACTAGTGTATCGGGTAGAAACCCAATGCGGATATATTCACACCGTACCATCAAAAGTCTAATGGATAGACCAAGATTTGTTCAGCATAAGTTTGAAGGTATAAAGCTTGATAAATCAGCTGAGATTCGCTCAGCATAAGTTTAAAGGTATAAAGCTAGCGAGTCAGCTGAGCCAGGTATTTGAGGGGGGGGGGGGGGGGGTTCAAAATTTTTTTTTATGGAAAACTTTTAAGGGGGGGGGGTGTGATTTTTTTCGAGTTTTTTAAAAAAACTAGCAAAATGAAGAAATTTCTCAAGAGGAAGGGGGATTTGGCTACGCGCCTGAGCTTGACGAATCCAAAGTTTAATTTTAAGGTTTTTTGCTTTTTCTGAAGCAACGGCTATTTTGCGATTTTCTCAACAATGCCTTAATCAATTTGTAATCTGATTTTTAATTATAATGTAAAATTGAAGGAACTTTTTTGAACGCAAACTTTTCAATGCGGATCTTGATTTATCTTTATGCTTCGTTTTCCCAATACAATACATTTACATTTTACAATACATTCACACGTGAATACGGTGTGAATATAAAAAAGTTTATATTATTTGATTTGATTTCATTTCTCGTTCATAAAGTTCGGTTCGACTATGTTTTTCATTTTTGGGCACTGTAAAGGAAGTTCTATCTTGTTTCAAATTCGTCTATTATTTGTGGATTATTTGATTTCTAAATGCAGAGCTTGCAGCCTGAGTATCAAAGGTCTTAAGACAACCGATTGATTTTTAACGGTGATTTGAAATTTGAAGCATGCTACACACATTTAAGTGTCGAAAAACCGATAAAATGTGTCGAGTTTAGTTTTTTAAACATAAATAGTCAAGTTTTATTCCTTTAAATGGATGACTTTAAAGTTAAGGAAAATTTAACGGATTTTCGACATTCAAACCAAAAATAACCCTTTTTAAATTTAAACCAAAAAATAACGGTTTTTTTCGACATGTCCACAGCATAATTTGACAATATTCTAGGTTTTGCAGCTCTGATTTAGACGTGCTGGAGACACAAACGAAGTAGTTCTTAATGAGAAAGGAAATGAAATGAAAATTTTGCTCAAAAGGATCACATTAAGGAAAGTAAAAGTGAACAGAAAAAGGTCACATGACGCACATTTTCCACTTCTTGTTTTGTATCATAGAAAGCAGCATTTAGCAAAATAGGAAACAACAGTTAAAATGAGTTTATGTAAACATTATTTTACACCAAATTTTTGTTATTTTCTTTTATCTCAATAACAAATTTTTTCAGTTTTCCAAGTTTTTCCTGCTTCTTAATTTAAAAATTGTAAAATTTTCCTCACTAATCACTTCCACTTTTAGCGCATTTTTGCAAACTTGTGTACAAAAAGGGAGCTTAATAATCCAAAATGTTCGTTCGTTCGTTTGGTTGAAGAAAAACTTTTTAACCAGACATCGTAGGGAGCTCAGGCTTGTTTTATTACCTCCGTTACTATTGATTTATCGGCCCATCGAATAGATAAAAGTCTTGAAACAGTGTATTTATACTATAATTAATGAACGCAAAATAATTTGATAATCAAATACTGATCGCTGCGTCAAAAATGCGCTGAAGTTCTCGATCAATAACACGAGGACTTTTGTAATTTTTTTTTCTCTTCTTTTTAGTTTTTTTGGAATCCTAGAAATTCTTATCAATTAAATTTTTATTTTTTTTTATTTTCTCTTCATTTTCTATGAAATATGCATTTCAACATTACCACGACGACGACGATTATCAACAATTTTTTTTAGATTTTTCATTAATTTTCTTTTGTTTGTGTTTTTTTTTCAAAATTCAATGCGCTTTATGAGCCATCATCCAATGCTGGTGGTACTGCTTGCTTGTTTTCCTTACAAATATTCTCCTTCATTGTGTGTATGTATATGTGTTTATGTGTGTCTGTCTGTGTTGATTAATATTATTGCAAACATCTTTGATGACCAAAAAAACTTAAACTTCCTTCAATCTCTTAGCTTCAAACTCTTCTTCGTCAGAATATTCGTATGCTTCCTCGTAATCCACCTCACGTTCACGTTTGAGACTATTATTGTTTGAATTCTGAGGACTGACAAATGAGCTGTAATGACACATGAAAGGAATTAATTTCACAAACTCTCAAAGATTAATAAGAATTATACTTACGCATATTGACTGTTGTATGATTGATTTCGTTCACTACCAGAATAATTATTTGAGCCTGGTGATTGTGGTGCGGATTGAAGGACAACGTCATTTAACTCTTGCGGGGAATTATCTTGAGAATTATCTGTGGACAGCAATAAAAGTCATTCAAATTAGTAATTATGTGTGAATTAATCAGCTTAAATCTCTTGAATGTCAAAATATTCAATTTAACCTAGTTTTGTTAATAAAACTAGGTCAAGAATAAATTTGCGCGATATGAATGAGGAAATAGAAATAAATGATTACTTAAAGGACATCAATTACCTATGAGACTCGGTGAAACTGGAGCTGATCTTGGCATACCAAAAGGTGCTCTAAAGTTTTGATTACCTCTCTGTCGTCGCTTACGAAAACTCTGATCAATCAGTTTACTCTCACTCATTGGATCAATTCGCCAAAAACTTCCTTTGCCTGGCTCGTCCTGTGAGCGTGGCACTTTGATGAAGTAACGGTTTAGACTGAGATTGTGACGAATACTGCATGTAAAAGTAACAATCGTTAACTTCAAATACTCAGCGTATAAAAATTAAAGAAATACTGACCTATTCTGCCATCCTTTGTTAGCTCCAGTACGATAATACGGATAATTCTTAGAAATATATGAGTAGATGCCTGACAGTGTCAATTGCTTGTCCGGTGCCGCTGTGATTGATTGTACGATCAGCTGAGCATAACTATATGGTGGTTTCTCATACTCTCCTGATGTTGAAGGCGCAGTAAATTCCTAAAGTTCAGCAACCCATATTAGATTCTCACACTTAATAACCACAATATTAATTTTATATCATGTACCTCATTAAAGTTGTGACTTCCATTATTATGTTGCGAATATACATCATGGTAGTTATGACGTGGACTTGTAGGACATGAATTTGCTGCTGACATTGTACCTGTTGGTGATGGAAATGGACTCTTTATGTTCTTTAGTGCTGCTTCTTGTTCAGGTATTGAAATTTTCAATGGACGATATACGGTGTTTGTATTCTCAACAGATGTAGACTTTCCAGTTGTATCATGTTTACGACTTTGATCAACCAAATTCTCAAATTGTATTCGAATATTTGTACTTGGGAAACGCAATGTGCATCTAAAAAAACACAAAATAATAAGATGAAGACATTAGTTTAAAAATACGAGAAAAGTTTAATGAGGAATAAGAAGGAAATTAGAACAAGTGATTGTTGAAAAGTCATGCATTCTTCACGCGAGAGATTATCCAAATCAGTAAGGAAATGGTCTCTTGGTGACTGACAAACAGCGCAACAAAAATATAAAATAAAGTGGGGAACTTACGAGCTAGGCAATCGAGTAGGCTCGGTGCTCTTCCGAATAAACTGATCGTCGATAAAGACACCGTTTTTACTAGCACAGACCAAATTGAATTCGTGTCCATCGTAATGCAAGATTAAATGTTTACGTGATACGAAACTATTTTTGCCAACATGAAAGTCGACCGATGATTTCGATGAATTGCGGCCAATTTCAATGACATTTTGACTGATTAATAAGATGTTGTCTTTTGATACAAGACGCCCAATAAACGATTGATATTGTTGACTTGAATTATTACTTTTACCAAAGCTATTGTTATTAATGAATGCCGTTTTTGGTGTTCTAACTCCTGTGGAAGTTTGATGACCAATTGCTGACGGTAAGTATTTCTTAATACCAGGTTTATGAATAATTGTGGACGGCGGTCCATCGTCTGGAATTGTCGTGGCTATTGTCATTGTCTGGATATCCGCGCTTTCCGCATCAATAACTTCACTCATAATATTGCTATCATCGAGACATTCCTCGTCATATGCCTCCACTTCCTCAATCAAATGATCCTCAACAATTTGTTCATCCATATCGTCTGTCTCTACAGTTTGGTAGTGTAAAACTATCTGCGGATTTGGCTGATCATTATGATTATTTTGATCTGCAATCTCTTGTTCCGATGAATTCTTCTGCATCATCACGCGAGGCAGGTGAAAATTGTTACTATCCGTCATTTCTATTCTCAATTTAAGTATATTTTATTTATTTCCAATTCCTTCTTCTGATGCTTTTAGGGATGTAAATCTTCCACTCTATATAACTTCAGCTCTAAATTGTCGGAAAGAAATATAACACGACGAGAGAATTTGAATTATGAGAGTCAGTCTATACTGAACTAATAATAATATTATTATTTTTTCACAACCATCGAGTTTAAGCTGATGTTTTTATTTTCTTGTTGTTGTTGTTATTATTTTGTCATCGAATGGTGCTGCCTGCTATGTAAATATTTAGCCGCGCGTTGATCAAGTATGAAAAGTAAGCTTTTTGCGTCGAAAATAAAAAGATTTCAGCACCACGTTTTTTTCTGTGTGCTGTATATTCTTCGCAGTGCGCTTTACAAAAGACTACAATTACTTTATATCTATTCTTTATTTTTTTTTCTTCTCTATAATAGTAGGCACGAGACGAGATGTTGAGGAAGAGAAAACACTAAAACTTTAGAGACGAACACCTCGAATTGATAGATATTTACTTTATATTGCGTATAGCATAAGGCAAGGCAGGCAGGAAAATATTTTTGTTTTTTTTTCTTCTCTCTACTACGCTCATCTCATTTCAACAAACAAACAATTTTCCAAAGCTTCACTCTTCTTATTATTACATTTTCTCCTTTCCATACTCGACATTGTTGCTATATTCCATCCCTACGATGCTTTTTCTATCTTCTTCGCGTGTACAAATCGCACAAACAGCACCAAGCAATGTGTATAAGTATATTTAAACATACACATAACAACAAGCAGAAAAAAAAACATCAATCAGCTATAAACAAAAGCGGAAAAAGGTCAATAAATTACAATTATTATGATTATGCCACCAAATTGCTGTTCTATTTATCAATTTTCACCCTCTTAGACACTTTTAGCACAGGTTTCTTTAATTCTCTAGCTTTAACAAACATCACTTCCATTAAAAATCGGAATTCTTTTTATATTCCATTTGACAACAGAGTGTCGAGCATAGCTTCTATACAAAACAAACTTCACATCGAGAGATATATACACAGGACGGAGAAGAGAGGAAAAATGGAAGTATAAAAATAAATAAAACTGTATTTAAGTGAAAAAAACAACGTGCTTGTATGATTTTTAATAAAATTCCGGCTTTGCGTTACCTTAAAATCCTATTCAACTTAATTATATAGAATCCGGCAAGTCACTTCCAATCAAATTACAAGAAATTAGAATTAAAATGTGTTTTTATATCCTGATTTGACCCTGCAGAACTTTTTATTTATTTTTTTGTTGTTTAGGTTGTGTGTGATTTTTTTTCACGCTTTCCGATCGCTATTTTTTCCATATATTTCAAGTTAATTTTACCTTCTTCCACTTCTTTGATCACTTATTAACAGATTAAAACACTTTTGACTATAATTAAACACTTCAATGGAATTAAAATTCAATTTTCATTAATCGCCAATGTTATGAATATTTTCCGAGATGAAATAACTAGTGAGCGCTGATGAGTTTTTTCGAATTTTGAATTTTAAACATCCGTTATTACTCTTTCTTTTTTAATTCACTTCTGCATGCTTTCTTGCACGTTAGGTGTTTATTGCAAGTTTCTTAGCATTTCTTGTTTCATAATATGGTGCAATTCTTTGGCTTATAAGCCTTTAGAAATCTTAAAAAAACATATTTTTTGTCAACTGATTTTTAAAATTCAAATCTTACTTCGAAAAATCCAAAAATTTAAAACAAAAACTTTTCAATAAATTTTGACGCAAATAGACAATTTTGTACAGATTTGATTACTTATTTAAACAAAATAGCATTCTCGAAATATTTTAATAAATCGATTTATCGCTTTAAGTGTTATTTTAAGACATTTTTCAACAATTTTTATAATTCTCATTTTTGGTTTGTTTACAAACAAAGTTAAATTCGAAAAACTTTTCGATGATGAAATTCAAAAAATTAAAAACCGTTCATAATTTTCTGATGTTAATTTCAGGAATTCAATTGCTTTCTTTAGTGAATAATGAATTCAAATAAGGTTTAATTATGTTACTTGTTTAAAATCGAATGAAATTAATTCAGCATATCGTAACGGTAAAAAAATATTCAATTTTTCAAAGGTAAATGTAAATAATAATAGAGAACTCAACACATGTGAAGACAGAAATATTAATAAAATAATGAAAAAGTCTAATAAACAAGGAAGTATGCTTAGAATTAAGCAGTTCAGTGAATCTGAGAGTGACGGAGAACAGGATAATAATGAAGTCATTGAAGATCAAGCTGAAAATTCGATAGAAAATGAAGAAATGGATCAAACATCAGATGTTGAAGAACATCCAGAAGAACCAACAACCAGCACAACAGATAAAAAACAGAAAAATACTCGAAAGAAAGGAATAATTTACATAGGAAATATCCCACAGCATATGAATGTAGCAATTTGTCGAGAATTTATGGAACCGTTTGGTGAAGTTGGTCGAATATTTTTACAGCCAGACAAAAAAGGAAGTAAGTTAGCTGCTAATGTTTAAATCAAATTACATCCTAATCAATAAAATTTTATTATAGTGACAAAGAAAGCAAACAATAAGAAGAAGAATGTAACATTCACAGAAGGTTGGGTGGAATTTGAGAAGAAAAGAGTTGCAAAATGGGTAGCACAACATATCAACAACACACCGATTACGACTAAGAAAGGATCAAAATTCAGTGATATCTTGTGGAGCATAAAGTACCTTGCTGGATTCAAATGGATTCATCTTAGCGAAAGACTGACATTCGAGCGAGCAGTCCAACATCAAAGAAAACAAATGGCCATTAGTAAAGCTCGAAAAGAAGCCAGCTTCTTCCAAAATAATCTCGACAAGAGCGAGAGATCTGGGAAAATTAGAAAAAAGAATTCCAAGACAAGTAAATAAAAAATTGTTTTTATGTTTATTTTCACATAAACAAAGAGCGAAGATTGAAGAATTGAGCCTGCATATTCCTTAAATTTGTTTATTATTGCTTCTTAAGTTAGTCTCTCACATTTCAGGTAGATTCGATTTACAGAGGTTTAAATGGGAATGTCGAGGGTGACTAGTTTGATTTTATACTTATTTGCAGAGCTTCCAGTCTTCGATTCCTTGTCAATACCTTAATTTATGCAATGAATACTAATTATTGATAATTTTGTCGCAATTGTGAATGTCAAGCATAATCATATAGTACGTGACAAAAGAGAGTGTGAGGAGCCTAGTCAGCCTCTCACCACTGAAGAAATTTGTCAGTTGAGTTTGTATTTTGAGCGCGTGTAGACGTATTTTTCGTTTACTCTACAACGATAAATAATGTGTTTCTATTCAACATGTAGCAGATAAAAAATTTGTTTTTAGTTTATCGTCACCTTATATCGATAGATTAAGTTTAATTACTGATGCCATAATTAACAAAACAAAAAATAATAATAATAATAAGTTAAAAAATACACATTTTTGCAATAAAGAGAGTCAAGGGATATAAAGTTTGAAAAATTTCATCAATGTTGAGCAGGTGTGAGGCACAAAGAATGACGATTTTGTTGTGCTGTTTGCGTTTCAACTGAAAAAAAAGTTTTATTGAATAGTGAAAAAGCAATTTGATTAGAAAAGTGGCAAGAATGTATAAAGTGTAAGAAGTGCATTAAGGCGTACCAAGTTATTAAGGCTATTTAAAGAAAAAAAAAATAAATTCTTCCTCTCTTTGAATAAAAAGAGTATATAAGAGGTCCAGTCAGTGAGCCAGCACACAAGCGTAATAATAAGAAAAAAATATATATATCCAGCAGATACATGAAAAACCTGTTTCTATACCTCGTAAGGTCTCTCGCGTAGTATTAAACGTTTTTTTTTTCTTCTTTCATTCTTCTGGTCTTAAATAATCGAAAGCACCAACAAGAATATCAACAACAACAAACTCGCGGAATGAAATGAGACAAAAGGAATTCTTTTTTGTGTAAAGCGAGCATCCATGATATTGAAGAAGAGTTATAACATTATTCACGGTGTGTTTTTTTTTATAACGAACTTTTTTATGACGATTATTTGCTGCTGTTACTCCTTCCTTACACATTTTTTTTTAAAAAAAGAACTATATCGTGGTCGTCTGTGTGTATGTACAATTGAGGTAACTTAGCAGCACAAAAAACTATCAACAAACATTCAATACATTTAATTCTCATTTCTTTCCTTAATATTTGTTTGTTTGTGCTATTTCTTGATATTAAGTACGACGTGACACTGAATGTACAAAGTGAATTTTATGTTTAAAGCAACAAAACAGCAGCATTAGTCCTTCTCAATGTCATTAAAAGTGAGCTGTTACATAAAATGTGTATGAGTGATTTATACAAAAAAATAAAATAAAATAAAGAAGGACAGAGAGCATATTAGTCTGCTGATAAGGCAGGCAGTGAAGAAAGGAAATTAATAAATTATTTTAATAATGAAAGTAACAGTTTGTTTTGGTGCTGTTCGTGTCGTTGTCCCTTGTGGAAATGGCGACTTATTGGTTCGCGATCTCATCATAGAATCGATTCGTCGTTACAAAAAAGCTACAGGAAAGGTAAGCAAGTTACTTCTTACTTTTAAATTCTTAATTAAGTCTCATTGACTATCCGATTACGACCAAAAAAAATGTATAAAAATTCATTTTTGTGGTCATTGCGGTCTCTTGGATGTACATTCTGTTTTCTAATTTGCTTCTGTCTGTTGTCGGTTGTTAATTCTGTTTTCTTCCTCCCTGAATAACGAATATTTTGATGATTATGCTGCCGTAACCTTGAGAGCTTTGAGACAAATGGACAATAAAACGTAGAAAAAAAAATATCATCAAGATTGTTGATGATGATTATTGCTGCTTTTGTTTTGTTACCAACCACATGAAGCAAAAGAAGATCCACAAAAAATATAATATCTGAAGCATAACATTTTTATTTGATTTATTTAACTTCCCGGCATTTCTATTACATCATTGTATCAAGTTTAGGGCTAAAGACGGGAAGTAAAATCTTGCCCTTTTTCTCCATACTTGAGGGATTTTTAATGCAGCCCAATTGATGACTCATTTCCCCCTTTCCACACATTATTATTTTTCACATTAAATTCAAGCAACTCAAGTTGTGTAGTAATGGAAACAGCAACAATAAATGATAATTAAACGTATGTCAAGAATTAAATTATTTTTTGGTTGCATGCCAACGCCAATAAACTGATGATGAAGTTACAAGGTGTGCTAAAAATAAAGGAGGTATTATGTCGATGAATAGGTTTTTCTAATCAACCTCGATTACAACTCATAACAGAGCTTGTGTCTGTTGACATAAAAAAAAATGTTCGATAAACGACCCAGCTGACATTATAAATCAAACTTTTAATATATCTAATGCTATATAATGAAGCTATGAAGCTATGGGCGAACAGAAATGGAAAAATACATTTGGTGTGCATCGATTATGCAACGCTTATTGATTATGCGTATAAAACACAAACATTCAGTCATTCAACATGCAATGTCGTAAAACCCTAATACAACAATTTGATTCTAATTCCACCTATTGCCCTTCTCTATAAATCCTAATTTTAGAATTGACATGCATTTTTTGCTTCTGATTCTCGTACACAATCACAATGTACACGCAAGACTATATAAAATTTATAAGACATTGACATTGATTTTGCGTTTCATTCACTCTCTTTGCTCTCGTCGTGAATGTCCAATGCGTGTGTGCAAATACAAAATGTAGAACTACATTACGTCAATTTGAAAATTATACTTTAGGTTGAATTCATTTCAATGCTTAGACTTTCTATTATGAATTTTCATAGTAGACAATTTGCGGTGTCTTATTTCCGCTTCTTAACTCAAATGCTGTTCCAAATAATGTTCCATTTATGGCTTAAATTGAATTTCATATCAAAATTTCTTTAATGTTGGCAGAGATGTATTGAGGATGCTTTATTGAAATCTAATCATGATCCAGCACTCAAAATAATTGAGACCAAAGATCCAACTCTGTCTTTTAAAATAAATCAAAGTCTATTCAACTAATCCTTCGAAAATCCATTTTCCAATTAAATGCTGTTCAATCGACAAAACACAGAATGAAATTTTCGACAGCAAGTACTGAAATTTGATATTTTTTTCACTTTAACGAGAAATGAAGAATGAAAAAATTGTAAATCTATTGAGTTTTAAACATGGATTACGGAATGAAATCCTTATTGATTCTACAATAATGTGAAGCCATCAAATTTTATTGTATTTTCACGAATAAGTCAAAAATAAAATCTGAGTCATTGACATCCACATGGTGCGACGGACGACAAAGTTGAAAACGCGATTTAGTGATTTACTAGTGCGGAAACCTTTTTACTTCGAGCGACATTTCATTACTTTACATTTGGAATTTGAAGAAGTTTAAAAGACTTTATTTCATTTCTTAAACTGAAATGCTTCATTTTCTGGAAATATAATAATGAGAGATATCCGATTTCAAATTTCCTTTTGCTTCATACTGTAACATCATTAAGTGTATGTTTCACCCAAATAGCTTAGCTTGTTGTTATGTTAAACATGAAAACATATCCTTTATGATGGCTGAATCGTCGTTATGATTTCATCATACTCAAATTCACTCTTTATATTACTGTTGCATGCGAGATGTGTGAGACGATGATGTTAAAGAGAAGAGACATAGCGAAAGAGAGAGAGACTTGAATGCCTGCATGAATATCTTCACGAAATATCAAATGTTTGCACGCACAAGACAGTCTTCCTTCGTTGAATTTGAGACTGATATTGAAATACATCTTTTGAACTGTTTTTGAGGGATGTTGGGCTGCTTTGTTAGCTGCTTTGGCTGTTTCTATGATTATTTAAGATAAATATTGTCAATTCAAGGTTGCTTGGCTTGACATATTTTTGAGGATAAGCTCATCTTTTTTAACTGGATCTGTCCAATATAGAATGTAATGACTTTTCGATTGTGAGGACATATGAGTATCAGGAGTATATAACGTAAACCTTATATAATAGAAAGATACTATTAAGGATCAATAATTTAAGCAATAATCTTCAGCTTCAGCCTCTTAAGTACACAAATGAATTACATTATTTAATATTGTGTAAATGCTTATAGTTCCTTAAAAAGGAATTGAATAACCACTGACTCATCGAATATGCGCGCTCAGCTCATTCATCTTAAAGATATTTTTCATTAATGTCGCCCTGCAATAATTGTTTTCTTTTCTCAAATATAATAAGCACGAGAAAGAAAGAGAAGTTCTTTAGAAAGGAAATGGGAAAAGAAGAAAAATTGTCAAAGCAACTCCGAGGTTCATTGGAGCATTTCGAGAAATTGTAGACTCAAAGAGTTTCATGAGAATTTCGATTCACTTTTAGTGCATTTATGGAGAATTAATTTTCCATTCTTTCCATATCGATAGTCACGTTTCTCGTAAACGAAATAATATTTAAAATAATAATCCGTATCAGTTTGTCCCACTGACATTAAATTAATACCTTAATAACCAGCTCTTTTTTTCCGTCGAGTTTAATTCATTCGATAATGAATACATGATTGTAACTTTTTTAACAAACTTAATTCGAAATGAACATGCTGCGGTAATCAGAGACTAAAGCTCACTATGGTGTCTCGCGATGAAGTAGAAAATTGTGAAATATCATTAAAATTATTAATTTAGGTATACTTAGTTTAGTAATGATCATTATAAAAATGCTAAAGATATTCATTCGGTACGAAAGTGAAAATGACTTTGCCTAATGATATTTCTAAAGAGTAGCTGTGTCAGGAGCTCTCAAACTGTGTGTTGCGGCACATAAGTCAGGTGTGAGAGCTTCCTTGCTACATGTCTACATAATGTTATAAACTATAGCTAGTGAAAAATTATTGAGCAGCACTGCATTAAGCTAACAGTCTACAAAACTTGACTTCATCCAATCACCAACACAAGATTGACTGCAGTCAAAATCAAAACTATCCGTTAAAATTATAATTTAACGGAAATTAAGGAATTCGCAATCAAGCAAAATTACAGTTGAACATTTTGTCGTCGTGAAATGGAACTATAAAAATAATTATTTTTAAAGAGAAAATTGAAATCGAACATGACCACTTTGAACTCTTGTTCAGCAACTAAAAATGACTCATATTTCTGTATGCAGTTTCACAGACTTTCTGGTTTTGGATCAAATTTTTTTTTCTTTGTCGAACCATTTTAAGTGGCTTTAAATGAGCCGCTCGAAACACTTGTTGACTTATTTTGTAGCTTTCTTCTACTCCTCCTTGGATAAATATTCTAACGGGCTATCTATTTCCATTACACATATCTAATGTGTATTTTGTAACTACTTAGTGTATACACTTAATATTCAAAACATGTCAAGAAACAACATTTAGAAGCTACTGCTGATGATGTTTATATTTTTGAATACAATGTGCTTTTATTTCTTACTTAATCTTGTTATCGAGCTGAAATCACGAACCACTTTACTGTGTTTATGAAAGAAATGGTTAATTAATTTAATGAATAGTCGACCGACAATTTTTTTTCTCATTCTTTCTTTTTTTATTATGACTCGCGTTAAAAATTCACTTTTGAGCGGATTTATTAGGAACTGGATGCAGTAAATTATTCATTTTGGGTATGATGCTAGTCGTTGGGACTTTTGCTAGCTCGTATATGCATTGATTATTAAAAATACTTTGTGTCAGCTATGTCAATTCAAAAAATACACAATATTGTGAAATATACTTGACTTCATGACTAAAATCAATCCAAAGAATCAAAAGAATATTTCTGAACAAAATCTAGCCAAATATAAGAAGATCCAGCTAATAATTAAACAAATGCGTTTTAGTCTTACCCAATTCATTAATTCCATTTCATGCCTTTTCTTTTACGCGTCTTCTTATGATGTACCGCGTGATTTCAAAAAAAAAAATTAGACTCGCTTCTAATGAAAATGCGTGAAAAACACCTTCAAAAATAAAAGTTCTTTCATCATACTTTGTTGCCTTTTTTCTGAAATTTATGTGGAAAAGATTCTCATGCTTTAATATGATAATGTTGATGTTGATGATGATGAAATCGCAAGTGGTTGGGTTCTGGCAATCCGACGAAATTTAATGATCTATGAAAAAGCCAGCAGAGAATTTAAGCTGAGGAGCAATCTGCATGCAAAGTGTTTCTGGCCTTATAAATTCTTTAATTAATAATAATGTGTACATATACAGTTAATCAGTGAGCCATATGATTAACGCAGTGGTGTCTGTTCTGTCGTCGTAAACCTTTCAATGCCATTTATGGATATGTCTTTAAAAATCTATTCAAACAGTTGTTTTCATTGATCCACAAAAAGCTACAATAAATAGTTTCAAAAAATCAAATAATTGTATGAGAAGAATTAACAAGCACATTATGAATGCGCAACTTTAAAGAGAGAGAAATATGTGATCGTAGGCAGTGCTTAACATTTTATTTTTATTTTTGGGGTTTCCGATAGTTCGCTTCCTTTTCTGTCAAGAGAAACTTTTTGTTTTCATTTCGTTTGACAAAAATAAAAGTGATAAGCATGTGATGGATTACGTGAAGTTATTCACACACTTTTATCAGCTGATTAAAGTTTTTTGTGCCATAGTCCAGGTCGATAATTAGAATCGATATTTCTCTAACATGAAACCTCTAATTCTCTTTGTTTTCACATCGTATGTCTATAAATATTTCTCCCCTCAAGTAATCTGGCTCTTCGACAAGTTGTTCTGATCGTTTTACTATTTATGGCATTAGACTATGTCTGCATTTAAACATTTTTTCGTTGAGTAATCACATAAAAAGTACCATTGAACTCATTTCCTTCTTATCAACTTGAAAACAAATAATTACGCCTAGGCATTTATTGAGCGAAGTGAATCAACGTTTGCCTTAATAAAAAAATGTGAAGCTTGTTGTATGTATGACTAACAATATTTATCTACTGATATACACGTTGAAATTCCATAACGAGTAAGAAGAATTGTAATCATGTGAGTTCACCCTCCCCAGTGCTTAACTGTATACACATTTTTTTTTTGCCTTCCCTCAAAGTACCGGCAGATGCTCAACGATACACATAGAACATAGTAGTTGGACGACCGTTAAATGATTTTGCATGAATGCCTTTTATTTGTATTGGTGAATTGTTGATATTTTTATTTCTTCCTTCTTCTCTGAATGGATCTTGTTGATGCTGCTCAATTTATTTTAAAGCCAAAACATATGCTTAACATATTTCCGATATCGTTTCTTCTTTTTTCTTTGGAATTAAAACTTTAAATCTACTTTCATATGTTTCATCTTTCTCTCGCTTGCTTCTTTTGCATGAATATATTACTCAGCACTGCTGATTTTACTATTATATTGTTCATAACTTATTAATGGAATCATTTACAAAATAGCCAGAGACTGTTGTTGTCAATTCCAATTTAAAGGTTCACATTTTGCCTCAATCATTAAAACTTAGTTCATCAACCTAAGAACAAGCATTTTCCCACAAGTATACATTTGAATAGCTTACTTAGAGCTATAAAAATAGCTTGATGTGTGTTTTGGAAGTTGTTTGATGTTGAATTATAGCAACTCATTAGAGTAAATTGAGATCCAGTGTTGATACTTAATAAAATTACATAAAGTCTCAAGTACAACGCTGTCAAGCATCTGTTTCGCAGAAGAAAAAAACGTGCCAAAAATGATCCAAAATATTTATGCAAGTATACATAACAGAGAAACATTGAAGTAGAAGATAATGATGGACGATCAACGTAATTTCATGAGACAATGTATTACTCGCTCATTCATAATAATCAGGTATCTTTTTCATTCTCCTCAACATGGTGATGTGTGTCGCAATTTATATTTTTTTTTTTGAGTGAATAAAAGAGCAACAATGGATCTACATATGCGCTCATAAAAAATGTATGTTCGTTCATATATGAAAGTGAAATGTAATTGCATAATGTAACACATTATATTTATAAAAAGTTCCCTTCTTCTTTATCTTCTGTTGTTGCTTGTCCATATCTTGTTGAAAAATTGCGTTCTTTAATAGCAATGCAAAATGTCTAGTTGACCCAACCCATCGAACAAAAGTGAAAATCAGTTGCAATTGCCACGTTTACAAATTTTTTCTTGCATAAAATTCGTGATTCGATCTTATCATGAAACTAAATCTTAATTGTAGCATTTATTGAAATTTCTCATGAAAAAGAACGCCTCTATTTTTCTGGACTCATTTTAGAAGGGGGGTCTGTAAATGAATTTCATATGGTCACAATCTGCTATTGTTACCGAGTGATTTTATTCACAGCCCATTTGCATATTATTTTATTTTGCGCGCGCTAATTGTTATTTGATTTCTTTATTAACATTCAGAAGGGCTCGTTATTCTTCATCACCTTGTTGTATAATTAAATGTAAGATGACATTGACTCATCTAGTAGGGTTATGTTTCGTATACATTAATGAGCAACATTAAACGATGATTTTGATGTTTACATTTGTCGTGGAGAGTCAGCAACGTTTCAAACATGTTTTTTGCTTGTTCTGTTAATGAGGTATAGTTCTTTCTCAATCTAAAGATGTGGCTCTATAGTTTTTCTAGACTTAGGGATCCCGATTATACAACCCTGAACTTCAATACTCATAACGGTCAAAATTCAGAACATCCTACTCACAAAAAGATGGTTAAGGCATTTCCGATACAATTATAAAACCACCTGTACATCATGCCTTAAAAACTTTTGTGAATCATTAATTTTTATTACATTGAAACGACATATAGGAACAGATAATACTCATAATTCTCATGCTATGTCAATTAAGTATCAAATTCGTCAACCTTTATCTCCATCAAGCTAGTCTGATAGCCATATCTAGAAGATTATTCTTCAAGTCATGAAACTTAACGAGAGACAACTCCATTACATAGTTAATTGCTGCCATGTGTCATTAAATATCCGTACGTACATTACATGTGAGATATTATTTATTCATTAAGCTACAGCTACGACAAGTAGCAACAAAGAACTGAGAAAGAATGATGTGTACGTAACCTGAAGGAGTAGAATAATGACATAAGTGACACAAGTGGGTAATCAAAAACGCAACAAAGAAGGAATAAGAATGGAGCAAAAAAAAAAAATAATGTGAGCTATGAGAGATGAAAAGCCAAGAGCATTTATGAAATGATTTATAAGCAAACAATGAGAAATTGCCACCGGTTACACTCCATATTAAATTCTCTTTTGTGATGTGCTTAGTGCTCCCATTCCACGAAGAATTGAATGTGTTCATATACTTAAGATAAAGATTTAAATTAATAAACCTCTTCGTCGTCTTCATTTCTGTGTATTATTAAACGTTCTACATTAAAAATTGACTTCAAAAATTCATTTCTTTCCTTCGTCGACTTTGTAGTAATGTTAATTTATGCAAAAATATGTAAAATGATTTCTACAAGGCACTGAAACAGAAATAAAATCGTTTTCTTCAAGGATTTTTCGCCAAAGCGATAAAGTTTAGCAGCTTTTGTAGTTTTTATTCTGGTTAATGCGCAATATCTTATGAAACTTTAAATAACTCAAAAATGCGGTGGCGACATTAATTTCTCGATACCAGAGACTCTTTTTAAAGGTGTAGAGAATTAAATGTGGAACAATTTGTCATTTTAAATTTAATTAAGAGTCAAAATCGCTTTGCTGATTCACTTTTCAAATTAAAAAAAAACTTTTTAAAAAACTACGTTTTTCGCGTAGACTAAAAAGTAGAAAATAACTTTTATTCTTGGTTGTAAAGAATTTGGTTTTAAATTTTCAGATTATATTTAATAAATTTTTATATCCTAGTCAATATTGTTCACAAAGTTTCGAATAAGTGCACTTTGATCTTATCGTATAACTCAACAACTTAAAAACGTGGGCGCATTAATTTAAGTTTATCATAAAGTATTGATTTCACATAAACTTATTTCTCCTCTTATAATGCGCCCACGTTTTTAAGTTGTTGAGTTATACGATAAGATCAAAGTGCACTTATTCGAAACTTTGTGAACAATATTGACTAGGATATAAAAATTTATTAAATATAATCTGAAAATTTAAAACCAAATTCTTTACAACCAAGAATAAAAGTTATTTTCTACTTTTTAGTCTACGCGAAAAACGTAGTTTTTTAAAAAGTTTTTTTTTATAAAGTATTTTATTTTCTACTTTTTAGTCTTATTCTAATGAAATAGAGAAATAAAGATTATAGGGGGTTTATAGGTTACAGGTGTGTTGAACTCCACTTCGTTGCACTTCGTTACGTTCAACTGTTTATAGATTAGAGTAGGTTTATAGGTTACAGGTGTGTTGAACTTCACTTCGTTGCACTTCGTTACGTTCAACTGTTTATAGATCACAGGAGGTTTATAGGTTACAGGTGTGTTGAACTTCACTTCGTTGCACTTCGTTACGTTCAACTGTTTATAGATTTCAGTAGGTTTATAGGTTACAGGTGTGTTGAACTTCACTTCGCTGCACTTCGTTACGTTCAACTGTTTATAGATTACAGTAGGTTTATAGGTTACAGGTGTGTTGAACTTCACTTCGTTGCACTTCGTTACGTTCAACTGTTTATAGATCACAGTAGGTTTATAGGTTACAGGTGTGTTGAACTTCACTTCGTTGCACTTCGTTACGTTCAACTGTTTATAGATTACAGTAGGTTTATAGGTTACAGGTGTGTTGAACTTCACTTCGCTGCACTTCGTTACGTTCAACTGTTTATAGATTACAGTAGGTTTATAGATTACAGTAGGTTTATAGGTTACAGGTGTGTTGAACTTCACTTCGTTGCACTTCGTTGCACTTCGTTACGTTCAACTGTTTATAGATTACAGTAGGTTTATAGGTTACAGGTGTGTTGAACTTCACTTCGTTGCGTTCAACTGTTTATAAATTACCAGTTTTCAATGGGAAATTAGTAACGACTTTCAAAATTTTTCATTCGTTTTATAAAATTTAATTTTTTTAAAGCATTCATTAGTAAAGTACATTAAAAATCACTCGTAAAGATTTTGTGTTTATCCGAACCATTCCTACTACATAACGTGTGGATTCTTAACATAAAGATGCAAATCAAATATATATGTAACGTATTTATAACGGATTTTCAAATTTAAATTCAATGAATATCATTTATATGTTATGCAAAAATACGTCAAACCGTTAATAAAAAGAAAAGTCAATTTAATTAAGTTGGTGAAGTGTTATAAATAATGCAATACATTTAAAACAGCATAAATTTATGCTCAAACTATGTGTGCTAAATGCACATCGCATATTAATAGTTATTTTGCATTAATTCGTAACGGACTTGTGCTTAACGGTTTTTTTGAAAATTCAAATTTTCACTTACGAGTATTCATGAAAAAATTACATGTCAATTTTTTTGTCTTACCAGAATATCTTTAGCTGCTCAAATTTATGGTATAATTAATAATTAGTAATATTAATTTAACTATAATGAATCATATAAATGACTTTAGAGCATCACAAGTATAATATTTAATACAAATCAAAATTTTATATCATTGACATTGGATTTTTTCCCATATAAAAAAGTTTTACATAAATTGTACTATAATTAAGCATTTTTGTGTTTCCAAAGTGTTAAAATATTGTATTGTCACCGGGAATACATGTGCATTAAAAATTTGAGCTCGATTGGAGCAGTAGAAGTGGTCGAAAAATTGATCGCAAGATTTGAAATTTTTTGCAAACAAACAAACAAACAAACAAACAAACAAACAAACAAACAAACAAACAAACAAACAAACAAACAAGAAAGCAAGTTAAGAAAAACGTAGTAAAGTAAAATGGTCATTAAATCCTCGCAATATGCTCATTAATTATTCATCATAATATTTATTCATAATATTTTTATATTAATGTGATAATCCAACTGCTTTAACATGCAAATGCTCTATGAGAAATGGTAAAATTATTTGAATAATTCTTGAATTAATGAAAGTGAAATGTTTCTTTTATCCTCTTTTATTTACTTTTTAGTCAATAACGCAATGGTAATAGACGAAAATAGCTCATGAATTGTTTTATTTTGATGGAAAAAAATGAGCACAAAAAAGCACAACCAGTGAAATCTTTCTTTATGATCTCACTATTTCGATAGAAAGAAATCTTTTATAGATTATCCACTAAATTGGGATCGAAAATGAAAGTCTTTGAGACGAATCAGAAACTGTTAATAGCAATTTAGCTGCTTTTCGGGAAAATTCGTAATAAAATTCTTTCATTTTGGGCATATTGTTTGTTTTTATCATGATTATTTTAGCAAGTTGTGGTGGAAACAGTTTTTGCCACTCCAAAATAGGCAGATACACCAGTTTCCTGCTCTAAACTTCCTTAATTAAGTTAAATTTACTGAAAAAAGTCTTCAAGTGAATGAAAATATTCTAATTTTGAATTTTTAACAAGTCGTTAAAATTTATGAAATTATTTGAGCGCTCTTTTGTAAAACTTTCTTACGACTCAAAAGTAACTTCAATCTCTTCATAACAAAGTGAGCAAGAGAATGTGTTTATTATTATTATAGATGGTATTTATATTTTCGGAAATCTCTTCTCACTTTGATTGCAGACTGTGTTAAACGTTTAATAAGTGGAATCAATAATTGAGGACTTTAAAAAAATTAATTCGGTAGATGCCGATTGAAAATGAATGGAATGAAAGATGCATCGTGATTACCGATTTCTGTAATTAATTAAACTAGTTTTCTTCTCTTTAAAAAGAAACTTGAACAGGCTATTAATGAAATGAAGCGTAAATTTGTGAACGCGGCTCTAGCCACCTGCTACACATGATCGATTTTTCTTTTTATCGCTTTATTGAGAAAAACATATAGCTTTAATTCTCTGCTATGCTTCATAAAGTTTCATTTAAGTAGTTTTTAAAAGCAAATCACAAAAAAAAAGTCACAATTTAGTTGACTCAAGAGTACTAATTCTAGATATAAATGAGAGGCGTTTAGAGTTAAATATTGAATTTGTAATTAATCGTACACATAGAGCTCAACTACACATGGCAATAATGGCAAATTTTAATGAGTAAGCGATTTTTATTTACGTTGGTATGATGGAATTTCAATGTCATACGTTTCTCTCATTCTGTGCTGTGTAACAATTGTGTGAGTGTTGTACACAGATGAATATTGATGCTTACTTAAGTTTAGTTACATAGTAAGTTAAGTCATGCATTTAAATGTCTATACGACACGACAATTCTCTCAAGAGTAGATTATTTTTTGATTTAACAATGAAACACACGGCGTGTCTTGAATACAGACACATCACAACTTATGAATTTTTTTTATGGGAGGCTGTCTGTAAATTCAAAAAACAAATATTGACATTTAAATTTCTTCCTGCATATATATATATTTTTTTAAAGAAGTAACGAAAATGTTCACTTCCTGCGTCTTATAATTATTAGATACATGTTACCTTGATGATGCTCTTCATGAATGCAAGTCCATTCAGAAAATCTCATCCCACTCAAGATAAATTCTTCACGCATCTTCGATGAAATGAAACAGAAACGAATGAGAAAGAAAAATGATGATAAAATCCGGCCTTTAATCCTTTTTTTTATTTCGTTAATGAAGGTTTCTCTTAACTTTATTTGTTGTATTTCATTAGAGACGATAGACAATCTTACCCCATATTTATTTATTGCTTTTATTGAGGATTGAAATTTCTCAACATTATTTTTTTCCCTTTTAAATTAAATCACATTTAATGATGTTGCGTTTGTCTTTCCCATTGTGTTCATTTTTAACAAGGTTTCTTGGTACTTTTGTGATTGATTATTGGATGGAATGCCTCGATAGAGAATGAATAAATGAATGATGAGCCATGTCCCACTGACTATTTAGGAATTTTATCTCTTAATGATAAAAATTGACTTATTGCGTACATTGTGCGTGACATTCTTAATGGAAACATTAAGAAATTTGTGCTTCAATCCTCTGCCTAGTTCCTCCTCTTAATCAATCGGGTCATGGAGAATAAAAATGGTTTAAATTAAAAGAGAAAGATGGAAAGAAGAAAGAATTGTTAACATTAAAGTTAAAAAGGCACTCGAAGTGAACAAAAGGAATTGAAATGAAAATTGTACTTTACTCCGTCATTTCTCTCAATTCATTTCATTTAATTTCGATAATAATGTATGTATATAGCTTGAATCTATATTACATTGTGTACGTTAATTACAACAATTTTTTTCCTTGATGAATCTACCTTTCTCTTTCCCTCCAATCCAATCATTCTTTCATTCTCTCGACCTTCTTCTCCTTGTATTCCTCAACTTTTATGTAATCTGGATTCTCACCAAGTGAAGAATTGAGTGAGGTTTTTAAAAATACACAAAAAATCACTTCACATTTCATTTCATTTCTTTTATTTCCCTTTTTTGTTCTCTCTTTCATCATTAACTGTGAGCATCTAACAAGCAGCAACAGAAAAGTATTTGTGTGTGAATTCTTATTCATTAATTTACCTGCCTCCTATCAATACATAAAGTGAATGTATTCTTTTTTGAAGAGGAAAAAAAATGAAATTAATGGTGCCTTTGTATTAGTAAAAATTGGTCAAGATCATCCGCCATCGATTAGACGTTGCTTTTATTTTTATCACGATTTTCAGATTAGGATGAGTGCTTTCAGTTTCAGTTTGGGATAGAAGCTTATGGTTATCTTTTTAGAATTTAATTTGGGATAGAACATTGACTGCATTTTTCAGGCATACTTTTATCTGATCCAGTAGATTTTAGGTAAATTCCTTTAAACCCAAAGTATCAAATGTCCAATAATTTGTTGACCAATTAAAGGATCATTTAGATACCAATTTTGTTAAAAACTTTCAATTTCCATCTTGAGCATCACTAGGATCTGGATCCTCTAGCAACACCAAACTTAAAAATGCGCTATAAACTAGTTGACCATCACTATAACTCATTGCTTCGGCATTCAAACAAAATTAAAATAATAAAATAATTTTCTTCTTCTTGCTCCTCATCTCTTTCACTCACATGCCGATCACAAGTCAAGCTTAAAAAGTTGTGGCGAAGAAAAAGAATTTCGACCTATAAACTTCAATTTTATTTCTGAATTGGTATTTTGGTTGGAATGCTGCATCATGATTTTTTTTTATTTTATTTTATTACTATTTCTTATGCATGCTTATGTATGTATTAAAATAATTCTTCCATTTCACTCACTTAATATTTGATTCCAATTGGAATGGATTTGAATGCATTTTAGACGTGCATAGCAAATATAGCTCGTTGACTGCATAGCCTAGTATATTGGAATGCGATGTGATGCTATAAAGGAATTAAGATCGGATTGTTACAGTGCAATTGAAGTTGGATGTGTATGTGAAAAAAAAAATCCACAGCACGAGCTCAATCCGTTCTATTGAAATGCGACATGAATTAACACTCTTCATTTCTTTTGTTAGCTTAATGTCGCATTAATGCATCATCATATTAAGCACATTATCCATATGCAGTAACAGACTGCGAGGTGTTAATGATTGTATGACGTTGGCACGCTTCTTTCTTACTGACTTTTTATTTCTGAAGTTTTCCTTTATTTTGCAAATTTTCGAAATGCTCAAAAAAGTCTGAATTTCAAAACGAAGGTCAAAACTAGTTAATATTTAGAAATGCGTTCAATAAACAGCCAATCAAGCTTCATTACTTTCTTCTTCTTTGTCATATTATTTCAAGTTTGTCACGGCTTTTTGAACTTATGCGATTTGTCATGTTTTATGCCTCATTTTTCATATTTACATTCAAAATGATTCTTGCCTCTCGCTATGTATTTCACCTCCTCCATTCTCTTTGTTATGTATTTTTTTTTGATAAGCCACAAGAGA